CCTTTGCCTCTTTGGTTAGATTTATTCCTAGGTATCTTATGGTTTTGGGTGAAGTTGTAAATGGGATTGACTCCTCAATTTCTCTTTCTTCTGTCTTCTTGTTGGTGTATAGGAATGCCACTGATTTCTGTGCATTGATTTTATATCTTGCCACTTTACTGAATTCCTGTATGAGTTCTAGCAGTTTTGGGGTGGAGTCTTTTGGGTTTTCCACATAAAGTATCATATCATCTGCAAAGAGTGAGAGTTTGACTTCTTCTTTGCCAATTTGGATGCCTTTTATTTCTTTTTGTTGTCTGATTGCTGTGGCTAGGACTTCTAATACTATGTTGAATGGCAGTGGTGATAGTGGACATCCCTGCCGTGTTCCTGACCTCAGGGGGAAAGCTCTCAGTTTTTCCCCATTGAGAATGATATTCACTGTAGGTTTTTCATAGATGGCTTTTATGATATTGAGGTATGTACCCTCTATCCCTATACTCTGAAGAGTTGTTTTTTTTTTTAAGATTTTATTTATTTATTTGAGAGAGAATGAGAGACAGAGAGCACGAGAGGGAAGAGGGCAGAGGGAGAAGCAGACCCCCCGCCGAGCAGGGAGCCCGATGCGGGACTTGATCCCAGGACTCCAGGATCATGACCTGAGCAGGAGGCAGTTGCTCAACCAACTGAGCCACCCAGGCGCCCTACTCTGAAGAGTTTTGATCAAGAAAGGATGCTGTACTTTGTCAAATGCTTTTTCTGCCTCTTTTGAGAGGATCATATGATTCTTGTTCTTTCTTTTGTTAATGTATTGTATCACGTTGATTGATTTGCGGATGTTGAACCAACCTTACAGCCCAGGGATAAATCCCACTTGGTCATGGTGAATAATCCTTTTATTGTACTGTTGGATCCTACTGGCTAGTATTTTGGTGAGAATTTTTGCATCCATGTTCATCAAGGATATTGGTCTGTAATTCTCCTTTTTGATGGGGTCTTTGTCTGGTTTTGGGATCAAGGTAATGGTGGCCTCATAAAACGAGTTTGGAAGTTTTCCTTCCATTTCTATTTTTTGGAACAGTTTCAGAAGAATAGGTATTAATTCTTCTTTAAATGTTTGGTAGAATTCCTCTGGGAAGTCATCTGGCCCTGGGCTTTTGTTCGTTGGGAGATTTTTGATGACTGCTTCAATTTCCTAAGTGGTTATAGGTCTGTTCAGGTTTTCTATTTCTTCCTGGTTCAGTTTTGGTAGTTGATACATCTCTAGGAATGCATCCATTTCTTCCGGGTTATCTAATTTGCTGGCATATAGTTGCTCATAATATGTTCTTATAATTATTTGTATTTCTTTGGTGTTGGTTGTGATCTCTCCTCTTTCATTCATGATTTTGTTGATTTGGGTCATTTTTCTTTTTGATAAGTCTGGCCAGGGGTTTATTAATCTTGCTAATTCTTTCAAAGAACAGCTCCTAGTTTCGTTGATCTGTTTTACTGTTCTTTTGGTTCTATTTCATTGATTTCTGCTCTGATCTTTATTATTTCTCTTCTCCTGCTGGGTTTAGGCTTTATTTGCTGTTTTTTCTCTAGCTCCTTTAGGTGTAGGGTTAGGTTGTGTATTTGAGACCTTTCTTGTTTCTTGACAAAGGCTTGTATTGCTATATACTTTCCTCTTAGGACTGCCTTTGCTGCATCCCAAAGATTCTGAACAGTTGTGTTTTCATTTTCATTGGTTTCCATGAATTTTTAAAATTCTTCTTTAATTTCCTGGTTGACCCATTCATTCTTTAGTAGTATGCTCTTTAGCCTCCATGTATTTGAGTTCTTTCTGACTTTCCTCTTGTGACTGAGTTCTAGTTTCAAAGCATTGTGGTCTGAAAATAGGTAGGGAATGATCCCAATCTTTTGGTACCAGTTGAGACCTAGGATGTGATCTATTCTGGAGAATGTTCCATGGGCACTAGAGAAGAATGTATATTCCATTGCTTTGGGATGGAATGTTCTGAATATGTCTGTGAAGTCCATTGGGTCCAGTGTGTCATTTAAAGTCTTTATTTCCTTGTTGATCTCTTGCTTAGATGATCTGTCCATTTCAGTGAGGGGGGTGTTAAAGTCCCCCACTGTTATTGTATTGTTGTCAATGTGTTTCTTTGCTTTTGTAGTTAATTGTCTTATATAATTGGCTGCTCCCATGTTAGGGGCATAGATATTTACACTTGTTAGATCTTCTTGTTGGATAGACCCTTTAAGTAGGATATAGTGTCCTTCCTTATCTCTTATTACAGTCTTTGGTTTAAAATCTAATTTGTCTGATATAAGGATTGCCACCCCAGCTTTCTTTTGGTGTCCATTAGCATGGTAAATGGTTTTCCACCCCCTCACTTTCAATCTGGGGGTGTCTTTGGGTCTAAACTGAGTCTCTTGCAGACAGCATATCGATGGGTCTTATTTTTTAATCCAATCTGATAGCCTGTGTCTTTTGATTGGGGCATTTAGCCCATTTACATTCAGGGTAACTTTTGAAAGATAGGAATTTAGTTCCATTGTATTGCCTGTAAGGTGACTGTTACTGTATATTGTCTGTGTTTCTTTCTGGTCTATGTTGCTTTTAGGCTCTCTCTTTGCTTAGAGGACCCCTTTCAAGATTTCTTGTAGGGCTGGTTTCGTGTTTGCAAATTCCTTTAGTTTTTGTTTGTCCTGGAAGCTTTTTATCTCTCCTTCTATTTTCAGTGACAGCCTAGCTGGATATAGTATTCTTGGCTGCATATTTTTCTCATTTAGTGCTCTGAATATATCCTGCCAGTCCTTTCTGGCCTGCCAGGTCTCTGTGGATAGGTCTGTTGCCAATCTAATGTTTCTACCATTGTAGGTTACATATCTCTTCTCCCGAGCCGCTTTCAGGATTTTCTCTTTGTGTCTGAGACTCATAAGTTTTACTATTAGATGTCGGTTGTTGACCTATTTTTATTGATTTTGAGAGGGGTTCCCTGTGCCTCCTGGATTTTGATGCCTGTTTCCTTCCCCAAATTAGGGAAGTTCTCTGCTATAATTTGCTCCAATATACCTTCTGCCCCTCTCTCTTTCTTCTTCTTCTGGGATCCCAATTATTCTAATGTTGTTTCGTCTTATGGTATCACTTATCTCTCGAATTCTGCCCTCCTGATCCAGTAGTTGTTTATCTCTCTTTTTCTCTGCTTCTTTATTTTCCATCATTTGGTCTTCTATATTGCTGATTCTCTCTTCTGCCTCATTTATCCTAGCAGTTAGCGCCCCCATTTTTGATTGCACCTCATTAATAGCCTTTCTGATTTCGACTTGGTTAGATTTTAGTTCTTTTATTTCTCCAGAAAGGGTTTCTCTAATAACTTCCATGCCTTTTTCAAGCCCAGCTAGTATCTTTAAAGTGATGATTCTGAACACTAATTCCGACATCGTACTAATGTCCGTATTGAGTGGGTCCCTGGCAATCAGTACTACCTCTTGTTCTTTTTGTTGAGGTGATTTTTTCCATCTTGTCATTTTGTCCAGAGGAGAATAGATGAATGAGAGAACAAAATGCTAACAGGGTAACAATGTCCCCAGAAAATATACTCCAAACAAATCAGAAAAGACCTGAAACCAGGGGAAAAGAAAGGGAAAGAAAGAAAAAAGAAAAAGAAAAAAAGAGAGAAAAAGATAAAAACAAAAACAGAACAAAACAAAACAAAAAAACAGAATATGAGCAAATATGATCAGGCTGGTGCATAGATTAGTGCCACACACTAGATTTTGGGTGTATTTTGGTCTGTTAGAAGGAAGTGCCTCCCAAAATTTTAAAGAAAGAAAAACTTATATACGTACAAAAATAAGGGTTGATACAATGAAAGGATGGAATATGACTGTAAAGATGAAAATTATAAAAAATTTTATAAAAGGAATTGATAAGAAGTTGTTTGAAAAAAGAAAGAAGAGGATTTAAAAAAAAAGAGGGAGAGAACGTGATCAGGCAGTAGACAAGAACAAAGCCATACACTAGAGATTTAGGGTATATTTTGATCTGTTAGAAGAAACTGTATCTCAAAATTTTAAAGAGAGAACAACTTATATGCCAAAAATAAGGGTAACTACTATGAAGGGATAGAATATGACTCTAAAAATGAAAAATAAAAATGTTTTTTAAAAAAGGGGTTGATAAGATGTTGGTTGAAAAAGGGGGGGAAAAAAGACAGTTAAAAAAAATTAACTTTGAAAGACTAAAGAATCATGGTAAAAAAGCCATGGATTCTATGTGCAGTATTCCCGTAGCGCTGGAGTTCTGCCATTGATCGGTAAACTTGGTCTTGGCTGGTTGTTCTCGCTGATCTTCTGTTGCCGTGGTTCCCAAATGTCTTTGCCAGAGGCGGAATTGCCCCGCCCTTGCCGGTCCGGGCTAAGCTTGGGTTTGCTCTCGGAGCTTTTGTTCCCTGCAAGCTTTCCGTACAGCTTTGGGAGGATGAGAGTGAAAATGGTGGCCTCCCAATCTCTGCCCCAGAGGACCTGAGAACTTGGGGCCCTGCTCCTCGGTGTGCCCCCAGAGAAAAGCAGTCAGTCACTCCCGTCTCCCCGGTCTCCGGCTGCACTCCGTGCTCACCTGGCCTGTGACTGAGCATTTCTATCTCTCGCACACGACCCTGTGTGGAGTCTCCAAACCCAGCAGATCCCTGTGGTGTGCTCCCAGCACCACTCCTCCCGGGGAGGAAGGGGGCGTCTCCCCAGATCTGCCACTTGTTGGGTCCCTGCTGGAGGAGCAGTGGCCGGACTGTGCCGCAGATCATGGTTTATGGCAACCCCGAGCTGAGAGCCCACTCCTCGGCTCCATCTCTGCAGCGGGCTTCCCCGCTCTGATACCTGGGAGCTCTGCCACACTCAGGCACCCCCGGCCTTTCTGTGACCCCGAGGGTCCTGAGACCACACTGTCCCAGCAAAGGTTCCACCCCCGCTTAGCCACTGGAGCAACGTCCCTCAGCGGAGCAGACTTCTAAAAGTTCTGATTTTGTGCTCTGCAGCTCTATCACTTGCCAGAAGTGGCCGACAGAGGCCCCCTCCCCCACCGTCTATCCTACCGAATATCGCCTCGGATTCACTTCTCCGCACGTCCTACCTTCCAGAAAGTGGTTGCTTTTCTGTTCAGAGAGTTGTTGCTATTCTTTTCTTCGATCTCCTGTTGAGTTCGTAGGTGTTCAGAATGGTTTGATCTCTATCCAGCTGAATTCCTGGGACCAGACAAAATCCAGGTCTCCTACTCTTCCGCCATCTTGCTCCGCCCCTCTCTAGATAACTTTTTGTTTTTGACTTCTAATTTAATTTTAAGTGGGCAGAGAACATATAATTCAATATTTTTATATATTGATACTTGTTTTATGGCTCAGAATATGGTCTATCTTGGTCAATGTTCCATCTGCATTTGAAAAGAATATGTGTTCTGCTGTTCTTTGTGGAGTGTTCTATAAATGTTCGTAAGATCATGTTAGTTGATTATTGTTCAAATCTATATACTAGCTGGTTTTCTGTCTACTATAAATTAATGAGAGGAGTGTTGAAATATCCAACTATAATTGTGGATAAAATCTATTTCTCTTTCCATTTCAGTTGTTTAATGTTTCATGCATTTTGAAGTTTTATTGTTAGGTATATAAATGTCTAGGATTGTTATGTCCTCTTGGTGAATTGACTCTTTTATCATTATGAAATATTCATCTTTATCTTTGGTAATATTCTTTTAATGAAAGTCTACTTCATCTAATATTAGTATAACTATGTTAACCTTATAATTAGTGTTCACATGGTATATAATTTTCTATAAAAGATCTTTTTATGTTTATCTTTTCTGTGTCTTTATGATTAAAGTGGGATCCTTAAAAACAGCATATAGTTGGGTCTGTTTGTTGTTTTCATTGAGCTATACTTTGATTTATATCCACTTTTAGTTTTTAGCTGTATGTCTTTGTTTAATTTTTTAATGAAGTAACAATAGGTTTAAAATGTATGTATACATTTAAATAATATTATATCACTTCAGGTATAATATAGAACTTTACAACAACAAATAATCCTTTGTTCTATTGTTATCATACATTTTACTTCTGTTATAAATCCCCTAATATGTTATTTCTTCTTTCAACAGTTATCTTTTAAATAAATTTTAAAGGAAAAAATCTTACATATTTTTTCACTTATTTACTATTTCTAGCACATTTTATTCCCTTATATAAGTATAAGATTCCATCAGAGTATTTTTTTTTCAGCCTGAAAAAGTTCTATTTATATTTATAAAATTTTTCCATTTGTATTTGTAAGAAACATCATTTTGTAGAACAGGTCTGCTTATAACGAATGCTTTCAGCTTTTGTTGTCTGAAAACATCTTTACTTCATTTTCAGTTTTGAAGCATATTTTCATTTCTTATGGAAGTCTAGATTAATTCATTTTTTCTTTCAGAATTTTATATTATTTTTAAAGATTTATTTATTTATTTGAGAGAGAGAGAGAGAGTGGGGGGAGGGGACAGGGGAGAGAGAGAGAAGCAGACTCCCTGCTGAGTGTGGAGCCCTACTTGTGGCTCAGTCTCATGACCCTGAGATCATGACCTGAGCCAAAATCAAGAGTCAGAGGCTTAACCGACTGAGCCACCCAGGTGCCCCTCCTTTCAGCATTTTAAAGATGCCACTGCATTGTGTTCTTACTTGCATTTTTCCTGATGATAAATCTATGGTAATTCTCATTTTGTTTCCTTTATGTTGTGTGTCTCTTTTTTTCTGTTTGCCTTCAAGCTTTTCTCCTTGTCCTTGGTTTTCAGCAATGTGCCTTCATGTAGTTTTATTTCTGTATACCCTTCTTGGGATTAGATTGAGTTTATTAGATATATGGCTTGAAAACTTTATCAAATTTGGAAACATTTCAGACGTTATTTCTCCAAGTATTTTTCTGCTCCCCATGCCCTTATGCATACGCTCAGCTACTTAACATGTTTCCATGATTCACTCGTGGTTTCATGATTCCAGGTTCTATTAATTTTTTTCAATTTTTCTCCTCCATGTGTCAATTTAGAGAATTTCTCTTGTTGTATCTTCAGATTCATTTGCCTTTTCTTCTGCTGTGTTTATTCTGCTGGTAATCCCATCCACTAAAGTTTTCATTTCAGATATTGTATTTTTTATCCCTAGAGCTTCCGTTTTCTTTTATATCTTCTATTTCTTTTCTCTGTATTTCTATGTATATTAACATATTTATAATACTGCTTTAAGACACCTATTTGCTTATTTCAAAATCTCTGTCATTTCTGGGTATGTTTCTATTTGACTGATTTTTTTTCCTAGTTATGGATCATGTTTTCCTGCATCTTTGTATGTCTAGTAATTTTTTATTGGGTTCTAGGCATGGTCACAGTTACCTATTTGAGTGAATGATTTTGTTTTTCTCTTTAAAGAATATTGTACTTTGTTCTGGAACTTAGGATCACTAAGGAACTTGGGATCAGCTCAATTTTTTGAAGAGTTTGCTTTTAAATTTTGTTAAGGCAGACCTTGTTAAGGCAGCCCTGCTATATATTTTAGCCCTACTACTAAGATATAACCCTTCTAGTTTACTAAGTGCCCCAGCTGTCCAATGAAACCCATCCTCTCTGGCTGGATCTCTGCTATCTCACAGCCATGTGTAGGCTTTGGAGGTTGTTCTGCACAGATTCCCAGTGCTTCTTTGCATAGCCTCTTGGAGTTTTACCCTGAGCATCCACAGAAGTTGACAGCAATAGACTCAAGGAGACCCCTATGTGGATTTCTGGAATTCTTTCTCTGCATAGTTCTTTCCTATCCAGTACTCTGTCCCATAGATTCCAGCTGCTTCTGCCTCCCTGAACTCTGATCTTGGCTTAACTTGGCAAAATTTTAATGCTATGCTTGTGTTTTTTCTTCCACGCCACTGTCTGGAAAAGTGGCTCCTGGCAAAAAGCCAGGGCAACTGTAAGGCTTGATCATAGTCCTGCCTTGCTTGTTGTCCAGTATTTGGAAACAGCTGTTTCATATATTTTGTCCAATTTTCTCATTTTTTTTTAATAGTGGGAAGACCAGTCTGGTACTGGTTACTCTATCATGACTAGAAGAGAAAGATTTTTCTTTTTTTAAAAATTACATTCTCAGCAGTAGTGACTCTAAATATTTTTCAGAGATCCACATACCAAGGGATTTTGGGAATTGGAAAGGACTTTGTAGAGTCTGAAGTGTGGCGATTTGACAGTGGTTATAGAAGTGAAAGCCAGATCCCAGGAAAGAGATCTTAGCAGAAAATCTGACAGTTCAGGCTAGAATAATTATGATTTCTGCTGTATAGTCTGAGAATGGGATGGGGAAAGAATCTGAGTATTTTCTATTTAAACATTATTTGCTTCTTTTTGAAGCAGGGAACCCAATATGAGGTGGACCAGGGCTTTTCTTCTAAGAACTGGATCTCAATCTTGGTTACATGTTAGAATATCAAGAGAGTTTTTACAAATCCTGATGCTTGGGCTGTACTGAAAAAGTCAGTCTCCGGAGTGGGCCCAGGCATCTGTATTTTTTAAAGCTCCTTAGGTAATTCCAGTGTGTTGCCACTGTTGAAAACCACTGCTCCAATGTGCTGCACAGCCAGACTGGGGCTGTAGATCTTTCTTCTTGGGGAGCTGTATCAAAGTGCTCTCACTGTGCCACTGTATCAGATGTGTATCTCACCTACTTATCAACACCTTCTTTTATTTTCCTGAGCATCTTCTCACCTTATCCTTGTTATACTCAGAATCTCAGCTGGCAACTGTTCAAGGTCTTCTGCTGACACTTCCTGGCCACCATCCTCCTCCTGGGTGATGAAAAGACCCTGGGAGTCCCTTCCTATTTACGGAGGAAGCATGGGCTTGTCTCCTGGGAATAAAATCCACAGCCTTTCTGTGATGAAAAATGCCATGGGTCAGAGCTCTTGCCTGCCACCAACTCTCAGAGTGACCTGGGTCAGTTGCTTCTCTTGTATTCACCCAATTTCCCCACCTGTAAAGTTAGGGGACCAAGCTGCACGGACCTCTATTTCTGACAATCTGGACAAGTGAAGGCAGCCTTGCATTCCTTTGAGAAGACTTCAGAACTAGGCTCTAAGACTTCCCCTAAGAGATGTGTGATGTCTGGTGGGTATTGCCTCTGACCTCCCCTATTGTGAGTATACCCAGCTGTGAGGGACAGGTTGGACATGGAGAACTTTGGTGCTGAAAAGATGTCAGGTGACTTGTTAGATGTGTAACAAAGTATGCAGTGGAAATAGACATTAGCATGGCCTTTTCTTTCTTTTCCTTTAAAACTGGGGAAAATGGCTATTTTGAAAGAGTTATGTTAGGGGCAGACTAAATGTCTGTTTTGAAAGAGACCACTCAGCACTCCCATTGGTGGTGTAGGAAGAGAAAGACCTGCTCTCTCTGGACTGAGGGTGTTGTGTGCCATGGAGAATCCTGAGGGTTGGGTCAAGTGATTGAGGACAGCCAGATGGAGGATGCCACAAGAGGACACTATCCTTGGAGAATATCTGGGAATCAGGAGAAGCCAGCATTACTAGGGACTCTACAGAAGGGTGGAGCCTGGGAGCTCTCCAAGGAGATGCATGGAACAGGAGTGGAGGAGAGATCCTGTTCATGGAATAAAGGGCCAGTGGTCTTCAGGTGAGGGGCCCTGCACCAGGGCTCTGTCAGGGCTCAGCCCAGCTACCAGCAGAAAGATGCCCTCACAAGGACATTGGGCAGAAGGGGCAGCACTGCTGTGACCGAGGATGAGTGAGGAGGCTTCCTAGAAGCTTGTCTCAGGCCTGGCTCCAGAGCCCACAAAAGATAGCACTCTGATGTTTATAGGGAGCAGCCCTTCAGAGAGAACAGATTCCCTGCATTGAGAGGACAAGGGCTGGGGTAGAACAGGAAGTGATCCTTCCTTTACAACTAGAGGGCTGCAAGACTGGAGACATGAGGCCTGCTCCTCATAGCGCTTGCTCTGTAGCACACAGAGATACTTCAAAGAATAGGGCAAAGAGCTGATTATGAGAGCAAAATGTACAGGACTAGTGCCTCTGAGATATTCACAGAACTGCTGCTGTGATTACAATCATTGCTAGTGATCCATCATGGGAACATTTTCAAGAACTGTGGCCCAATTTACATGGATCCTTCTATTGACTTCTGCTTGGTAACTAGGGTACCATTGTCCAGGCCCGTCCTTTATGTTTGTGGGGCCCAGGCCAAGAGTGCAAAAGGAGGCCTACCTACTTAAACATTATAAATTCAGCTAACAACCAAATGTCATAGCCATGTGAACTATTTAATATTGCAAAATGCTCCTTAGCCACCATACATATTCAACTACTGTGAATGCAGCAGTAATTAATGACAGCACCTGGAAGCACACACTGGAACACAAAGAGAAGCAAGAAGGTGGATGCTCAGCACTACTGGAAAATTATATTCTGTTATGCAAGAATCTATTGTATTTATGCTCTCTGAGAGGAAGGATTGGGTAAGTCCATAGTCTTTCTTGATCTAAGCACACTGCCTACCTCCTGTGCCTCACCTTCATAGCCATCAGCAATCACCTTTGTTTTGAGGCTACAGAGCAAAAGGTTTGTAACTGGTTTTATTGGGCTCTCAATGGTGCTCATCAAGGTGGTGTGTGGGGCACTTGAAAGCATGAAGTCCCTTTGTTGGGTCAGCATTATTTTATTTTGGACCTTAGGTACAGAGATTTTAGTTCATCAAACTCCTTATTTCATGATACAACATAACTTTTGGTGTATCCAAGGGCCTCTTAACACTGCATGTGAAATTCAGAGTTAGTTTTTCAGAGAACTATC